TCCACATGCTTTTTGCAGAAAGCACTGAATGTATGCTGGATGGCATTTTCACTGTCAGGGTCAAGCGGCAGACTTGAACTTGTTGACATAATCTGAACTGAAAGGATGAGAAGATTACATGCAGGAGCGCCTCAGAGAACTATAAATGGGGGATGTGGGGTGTGACACAACAGGTAATCCATGATAACAGTCTAACAGATACACAGGATTGTTTCTCAGCCACTGCTAAACTGTAAAGCATGCTAAAGAAACATTCCCATAGGGATGGTAAACACAGTGGATGATAAAATCTTGTGGAAATTGCCAGACTTTAGGTGGCACTCTTTACCCCTTCAAATTTCCAACAGACGCGTGATCATTTTTCCCAACTAAGATTGATGATGCCCTTCAGGATTGCATCATTATGGGAAGATGCTCTTGAAAGAGCTGAATATACATGTACATTTGTAACTGTTAAAAAATGACAAAGGCAGTTCTAAAGACCATAAAGATAGAAAAGGTTTTCCGAAAACACAATATTTCTAAACTGCAATATTTCATTTAATTGGGATTTCATTTGATTGGGATTTTCCTCCTCTTCAAAATGCATTGCTGTCACCGAGTCTATTAACTTACCTTGATGTACATGTAGTCCTTGTAACAGCTGCGATGGTACCTGACCTCGATCACAACCATGTCTTTTCCTTTGATGTCCACCAAAATTTGTTCATCATTTAGGATCTCTGCAGCTTTGAGCAACAAACCCCCTATAACAAAAGGTATGTGTACATTTAATTAATGGAAATGATACAGGAAACCATGCAAATGAGCCAAACTACACAGTCAATATGAAATCAAAACATTTATACTCACTTGACTTGTACTCGCAGTTTGATAGGCTTTCCCTTGAACGTTTACACGTGTGGCTGTTGGCTATCCATTTTTCCTTTTTACAGATGACACATCTGACTGGCAGGACATGTGGGTTGCGCCGTAGCTGTGACAGAGAAGTTTCAGATGACAGCCGACATGACTTTCGTGATGGTTCTAGGGTTGGCTCCAGTGTTCCTTCAACTTCAGTAGAACTAGGTTCACCGTGTGCAGCTTGTTTAGCTAAGCAGCATTCCGCTCTCTCAATCTGAGTAGTATCGCAAAATCTAAAAAGTAAATGTTAGAACATTAACAAAAATTTAAATAAAACAAAATAAACAATAATATGCAGTTAAGAGAATG